CATGGGCACACATAGACACGAACTGTTGCTTGTTGTATGTATGTGTGAGTGTGTGTATGCGATGTCCCCAACTATTTGATATTTGATATATGGCAAGTAAAAAACATATTGCTATATTTTAATCGTTGAATGCCAATTTGTTGATATAATGTTGATTACATTACCCAAATTTGAAATCGATCGGACAAAATTTATAACACAAACTATTCATTTGAAAAAGTGAATAAATATTAAAACCCCAATAATAAAATTAAATGCGATATATCGAAAATATCGATACTTGTGTTGATATATCGTAATACATGTCGAATACAAATACATCGAAAAACATCGTTTGAGAGTTATTGATTATAATACTGTATTCGATTGTTCACTGTACACATATGTACAGCCGTAAATTATCAAAACGAAAGAAGTTTTGCGAGCCAATAACTTGTTGTTGTTGTTTTAAAAATTTTGATTTGAAAACATAGAACACTATTTGTTACAATTAAACAACAGTGTTCGATGGCCCACTGCATACATACAAACCTATATATGTATATAAGAATGTATGTACGTACATACATACTTATTGATGTACATATGTACATACTATACATACAGACGTATGTATATATGTATGTACGTATGTAATACATATGGTGCTGGTGTAATTCATAATGCGAAATTCTTTCTAAGGGGAGCAATGTCCCCCCTGCCCAACCTGCGTACGCCCTTGTAGTCCATTGTCCTAAAATCCCTTATGCCAAATGTACTAAACAAAGAAAAAATAACATAAAAATGTTTGTTATAATGTGTGTTATAATGTTAATAATTTTTAATTAATTAACATTTCTTGCCCTGTCAGTGCAAGACGAATGTACTTTTATACATATGTATGTATGTATACATTTGTACAAATGAACATTCACACATTAGTGTCTCACATTTTGCTTTGGCTACTTCAACCGTTTGCACGCAACTACACGAACAGCTGCTTGTATATATGTATGTGTGTGTGTTTGTATACTTAGTTGTCCCCAACTGTTTGATATTTTGTATTGTTTGTTCTGCCTGCATTTGTAAAATGCATATTTTAAAAATCGTTAAATGCAAAGTTGTAATTTTAGTTACGTAGATTATATTACCCAAATTTGAAATCGATCGGACAAAATTTATAACACAAACTTTTCATTTGAAAAAATGAATAAATATTAAAACCCCAATAATTCAAGCTCCAACACAAATTTCGAAAAACCGAGTATGCAGTTTTGTTTGTATTCTTTTATAGATTATAAAAACCAAATTTAAAGTTGATCGATTCAGAAATGCAGAATTTTCAAACAAACTTTGGAGCTACTTTTCCCCCCTTTGGAGCTCGAATTTTCCAAAATCCCTTCTTAGTGCGCATCTACACCATGATAGGATACTTGAGCCCAGTTTTCAGTTTCCTAGCTTTTACCGTTTGGGCTGTGGGGTGTTGATTGTGTTTCAATTTTTCCACGGAATTCATGCCCCAGGAAAAATGGTGAAAAACCAAGTATACAGTTTTTTTTGTATTCTTTGTGAGAGTATACAAACTAAGTTTGAAGTTAATCGGATAAAAATTGTAGATTTTTCATACAAACGTTGGAGCTCGTTTTCCCCCCTTTGGAGCTCGAATTTTCCGAAACCCCTTCTTAGTGCTCACTTTCACTATAAGAGGGATCTTGTGTCCAAATTTCAGCTTCCTAGCTCTTACCGTTTGGGCTGTGCGTTGATTGCCAATCAGTCAGTCAGTCAGTCAGTCAGGACAAACTGTTTTATATATATAGATATCAAAAAATGATCGAATTTGAGGAATTACTATGTATTGATTTTTATTACGTCCATTTCTTATCTGTTAAGGGTTGTGGTATAAACATATCTTTTATTGCAGGAAAAAATATTATTTTTTGATTAAATGTGAGATTAGCAGTTCAAAACTATTTCAATCTGAACATTTATCAACCATTTACTACTTGAATCTTGAATCATTCTAATTTTGAGTTGGTGGTTTATGGACGATTTCTATCGTATACGAAATGTCTTTCAAGTACGAAAAATAATTTAATGGTGCCAAATCTTTAATAGGATTAAACTTTTCGCCCAAGCATTCTTACAATTCTTACAACCGCACGGTTATCCTTGTTAATTAGCTTTTAAAGACCATATACACATATTGTTGACATAAGATATAATAGTTGTATATTGGATGTGATATCTTCAAAAATAATTGGCCTTTTCTTACACACACTTCTCTAAATCTTATCATTCCGGTTTTAAGAAGTGATTTGCTACCAGGAAAATAAGCGCGATGGCCTTCAATCAGAGAGACCAGTTTGTTCAGACATTTGTTTCAACAGATTGGTTTAGGCCTAAGGTTCTGGATGTACTATGGATTAAATTTACGGATCTAATTTTCTGTAGATGTTATCAACTATATATAAATCATAAATTCAACAATAAAGCTCCGAATGTAATGTATGCAATGTACGAATGTAATTCTTTTTATTGGAACTTACAACAACAAGACAACCATGATTTAAATTTATATGCTAAAGTATTAAATTCACAATTTGTATGTTACCTTTATAAAAACGTATTTAGCTTCTATATATTTATATATTTCAATAGATTGATTTGAACCTCAGATTCTGAGTGCATTAAACTAAATTTACGGATATAACATTCTGTAGATGTTATCAACTATGTACAAAATTCAACAATTAGGCTCCGAAGCTAACGAATGTAATTCTTTTTATTGGAACTTACAACAATTTTTATTGGGAAACACAACTAAATTAATAACAAGACAACAATGATTTAAATTTATATGCCAAAGTAATAAATTCATTATTTTAATGTTGCCTTTATAGAGACGTATTTAGCTAATAGCTAATGATGACTGCTTAGTATGATAGGTTTAATAAAAGGGAATATAGTATGTTGTTAGTTTTTAGAGCCAAATTGAAACACATTTTCGCGGCCATAATATAAAGAAACTTTCCGAGATTTTATAGCTAAATAAATAGTTTTTAGTTGAAAATTACACAAAATACAATTATTTTCCATCTCTGCTTTAAAAGCGCTGCCGCTTAACATGTCGTATACGTAATCCATGAAAATTGAAAAATCATTGAGACGTGTGTCTGTAACTAGCTGTGCGCGCTGTCAAGCGCCTAATGATGTGGCTTTTGCAGCGATGTGTCTCAAGCTCCACCCCCCCTTTCCACAACAACTATCATGTCCTTGGCCACGTTCGCGCATTTCGGGGCAAGCAGCAATAACAACAACCACGAGAAGACGATATTTGTGCCATGGCTAAATAGTTGAAGCCCTCGTCGAGTGCGAGTGTGTGTTTTTGTGTGTGAATGCATGGCAAAGCTAATCCAACTGTCACTTTCAGGGGCGCTCTGGCAAATGGCTTCGGGAATTATGCCAAAATTAGTTGCTGTTACCCCTTGTGCAAAGCAAGAAGGAATCAAAGGAGCAGGACAGAGGAGACAGACAGGCAATAACCGTTAAAGGAAAGTGTCACTTAAGTGGTTTTCAACATTTGCTACGCCATTTTTACCACAGTGTACTCGTCGCAGCGTCCCCAGCTCTGCTTTCACCAACAAGTAGTGCGCTAGTTGTTAATGCACGCATTTCCGTTTCCTGTCCCCATGAATTTATGTTTTATTGCAGCTGTTGCTCTGTTGTCGCCATTAACATTGTTGCTAGACTCCCATCCGCATCTCCATTCCCTATCCATCTACTAGATATGCCTTCAATTCCTCCTTCGTACTTCACCCATCATTCTATTTGGCATTTTATTTATGCGGCTCTTACGCTCCTCGCTTTTATTGGCGCTGTGATTTCTCTGGATTACGCTTGAAGGCGCATAACTCGACTTTGGCGCGCATTAATCATAAAGCGGTTTTCATGACTGCGTCGCCGTTCCACCCACGCACTGCTTTTGTTGCTGTTATTGCATTTAATTTGGCATTAAGTGCATTCGCCCAGAGCAGACAACGGCACACGACCATGCCCTGCCCTTCCCTTCCCGGCCCTCTGCCATCCCATTCTGTGCACCCGACGCACTCGACACTTAAGCGGTTTATGCCCGATAATAATGTAATACCTGCGCGCCCTTCTGTCTCGGCTGTTTCAAGAGTTCGGTTTCAGATGTGACTCTACAACTGGGTTGACTTTATATCGGGGCTATAATAGCAGTGCATATTTTTACGATTCGCCATCACTCCTTGCACTCGCTAAGGTTTTATGGGTTCGTGGAAGAGGAAGGTTTCTTCACAATTCGTAAAATGTTTCACCAGATTGTGAATGCAAACTTGACAATGACAAAACAATGTATGCACTGATGGGATGTACTCCAGTTTTGAAGGAAGTATTGAAACTTTTACCATAAAACAATTCCCCACGTTAATCAACAAGAGGATGATTTAAAACCGCATGAGAATTAGTGATGTAAATATGCATCGATGTTCGTCTTGGCGATTTTCGTTTCCGATGTAAAACATCGATGTTTATTTCAGACTTACATCACTAATGAGAATCTTCGGAAATGAACATGGTATTTAATATGACAAATAATTTGTATACCCTGTACTCACTTGAAGAAAGGTGAAAGGGTAGTAAAACAACAAAACTTGGTAAACTCTTATATATTCCCCAAAGCCGTTTTTTCCTGCTATTACTTGCAAATGTACATTTTTAATAACGTCCTGTAGACTGTTATTTTTAAAAGCAGACTTACAAAATGGTCTCCGTAATATATATTTGTTATAAGTATAATACACTATATATTACCTGTGTCTTTTTTACGCCAATCGAAACTTAAAAACTTTTCACATATGCCAACTTAACATAAGTTATCATTATCCTGAATAGGCAATATCTACTTTCGGAGCATAGTCGCTCCCAGAACTTACCACATCTTCAATAAAAGATTAACCCTACTGTTATGGTCCGACTATTTACTAGAAGCGCGAAGTACTGAGTACTGAAATAATACCATCAGTGTCTGTGTGGGAGAAAAACCAAGCAGGTTGGAATGCTGTCATTTTATTTTTTAAATTAATTCGAAGCATTAATATGAAATAGCGTCAAAGTCTAAATTGTAAAATGTTAGGCCGTTTCGCTTGATTTTCGGTCAATTTCGGTTCAGTCGGTAATTGCCGTATTGTTGAAAAGAATCTAGCTCGACAAAATGGCTGATCCCGAAAATCAGGTTGACGAAGGAAAGGGAGAGGAAGAAGAACAAGAAGAAAATGAGGAGGGCGAAGCCATCAATGGAGAAGAGGTGGGCCCCTCCGAAGAAGATCAGATTCTAGAGGAGGAAGAAGATGAGCAGGAAGAGATCGAGGAAGATCCCTTTGAGCTGTTAGATGATGAGAGCCAAGAAAGCGATGAGCAGAAGCGCAAATACAAGGAATACCTTGAGCTTGTAAAAGAAATCGACCTACAAAATAGCCGTATTCTCGATCTGAAGGTACGCGCCAGCCTCCTACGTCACAAAAACTGCCCCACCAGTAAGGACCAGCGAGAGTACCAGCGGCTGCGCGTTAATCAAGAGCAGGAGAACGTCAAACTGCGTAATATGATAAATCGAGCTATGCAGCTGCAGAACTATGGCTCAAGAAGAATCTATGGGGACGTAATGATGGCCACCACGGACTTCGAGGAAGACATTTTCGTTGCAGGGGCCCTACAGAAGAAGCCAGGTGGAACCATCTTGCCTGGCGGTGGGTCTTGTACTGAATACGACTCTGACGACAGTGACGATCGATTTTGCATGCCATGAAGAATTTGCTGAAGAAAAAATTAACAAATAAATAATGAAATGAAATTAAGAGAAAGACTTAAATTATAGAGTATAATTTTTTATAATACCTACGTGATATCTGCATACCCATTTTATACCCTGTACCCTAGGAGTTCAAGTGTGTTCCAGATAGTCTAAGCGCCAAATGTTTGTAACAGATCCTACGCTGTATGTATAAATATGAACAGTATGATGAGGCGAATCGATATAGACATGAAGCATCTAGCTGTAATCGGAACAAATGGCGAAATAATCACGCACTGTTCTGATTTTTAGTTTTATTAAAATCATAGCAAGTATGTGCTTTTGTGTATTATCTGTACATCAATGTTTATATGCACAAGAACTGAAATGTAGATATGAAGAAGAGGACCCAAGCGTAGCGCACTTCCTCTCTTAAAATTAGCTAGGTTCATTAGCAGCTCCGGGTGGTCGAAGGTAGATCTATAAAAGTTTAGGGGCGTATATTATAAAACGCTTCAGTCTAACCTAACCTAAATGCAGACAATAGCGAATTTACGCTTTGGAAACGTATAAAGGACGATTTGCCACTTAAATCACCCAATTAGTATAACTGCATCGACATTTCTTCTTTATGTATGTTAGTGTGAGTGTGTACACATACTTGTAAAGTATTTTCGAAAGCTACATATAACTATGTTATAACTCTATGGGAATGAATACGAAATATTTTTATTGGAATACAGGGCAGCTCAAATAACTCACAATTATTGGCCAAATTTCTGAAGTACACGTGACCATATAAAGAAGCATCTAAGTATTTCAAGATCCATGTGCTTATAAACTCATCAAATCCCTAACTTACTGAACAAACAATCGTCGCATAAACCTCTTTGTAAGCAATGACAATCGTGCAATTACTCGCAATACAAATAAATGTCCCCCAAATTGGACAGCCACTGTGTTGAGGAGCTCAAGCTCATTGAGCAATTCATTGAATCGACGAATTCAATAAAGTACAACTAATAAAAATAAGAAAATGGAAATGGAAAAGAGAGAATTACAATTTTCTCGCCATTTGTTTTTTGTGCGCAACACGTTCCGTTGTCATATTTCGTAAGTATAGTACAAGGAGCAGCCAGGGTCGTGGATGAATATCGAGGCGGAGAGACGAAGGCAAGAAAGCAAAATCCCGCGCATTTTGTGGCTTTATTATTGCTGCTGTCAGTAGAGCTCCCCAATGGTGAAGAAGAGAAGCGACCCCGGACCACGGACCCCAGTATGGCGCACACGGCGTTAGTGGTCCATCAAATGCTTGTAAACAAAGCCAACAAACGACAACGGAACGAGCATTACATTGCTTGGAATGCTTCGCTGAGTTTGCCTCGTTTGTTGGCGGGCAAAAGTTGCAGAAGAAGCAGAGGCACAAGTTGATGATGTGTGGGCTCCAGGGGCGGTTGCGGTGATGGTTGCAACGGCGGGGCCCATCGCCGTTTATGATGATGGGCGCACTAGCGAAGTGCATGCAATAGCAATAATCACAAAAACAAAGCAAAGTGAACTGAACAGCAAAACTGAACGAACGGCAAGCAGAGTCCCCAGCACCAAGCCAGACATCAGAATAAGGGGATCAAAGCAAAACGACAAAGCAAAACTGTGAAGACAAACAACAAGCGAGAGGCGGCAAGAGGGAGGCGGGACAGACGAATGGGTAGACATCTGGACGGGTTGGACAGACGGCATAAAACGGCATCTGAAATCGCAGCCGCCGAAGCGAAGCGCCCCGGCCTCAGCCACAACACTAGCCCCTATGCCCTGCACCCTGCCCCAAGCTCACTCTCTTGTCTGTGGCGCTGCCAGGAGCGGACGTGGGAAGCAGAAACTGTAGAATTGGCGTTTGGCTGCGCTCCTGTTTCGTGCGTGGCATGCCACGCCTGTTTCTCGTCGTCGCCAGTCACTGACAGCAGTCACTGCCACAGCAGTCGGCAGCCACATTCACGTCCAGTGCGATGCGTGCTAAAGTGGTTTCTCTGCTGGCCGTTGCGCCATTTGTTTTGCTGCTTATTTTCGGTTCAAAACAAAGTCAACTCACAACTCGCTTGGCGCAAATGAAAAGATAAAAAGGGGAACGTTTTTGGCGCGCAAATCCAGAAAAAGAAGCCAGTGGCTGCGTTGTAGCGTGGCGTCACCTTCCGTGCATTCACCCCGTTCTGAGGTCTGTGGCTGGGGTTTGGAAACTGGGGACTGGGGATTGGGAACTGGGAACCGGGAACCGGGAAAAGTTGAACAGTGGCTGGCTCGACAGCAAATTTCATTCCATGTGGTTCGGTTTCAATTTTAATTCCTTCTTATTCCATTTCATTCTGTTCCGATTCAGTTTGGTTCGCTTTTATTTTGGCGCGGGCAAATTGTTGTTTTGGTTTGGTTGAGTTTTCTTGTTGCCGCTTTTGTTGGGGTTATTTGCCTTTCCTGCTGTGGTTGTTGTTTTTGCTCTTGCTGCTGTTCTTATTGTTGTGCTAGTGCTTTGTTTTTTGCTACGTCTGCGGCTTTTTTATGCGCCTTCCCACGTCCAGCAGATCAGTCCCAGACCCGCCCAGTCACAGTTGCAACACATGTGCGACGTCGCTTCGTCGACCAATGCGTCTTGCAAATTCTTGCGATCTAAAGTAATTATTGTTGTTTTTATTGCCATCGCCAATTCCTTTAACCGTCTCGGTCGATACACGAGATAGAAGCACCCAAAGTTCGATGTACCGGCGAACAGATCGTGTTGATGCCTTTATATCTGACAGATGCCTCCGCGCTTTCGTAAATGTTGAAGTGTTAGCATAAATATGAGCATTTCTGCTGAAAGGAACGAATCTCAGCATTTGGCTGGGACTTTCCTGTAACTGACAATGACTCTGAAATGATCATCGAGTTCCCCTTGGTAGTAGTAAATCGTATAATATCCTCGTAAATCGTGTACATCACATTTCTATGAGATGCTTACAACTAATATATATCCCAAATAGCGGGTTTGGTTGGTAATGTATCGATTATGTGATCAAATCATTATGTTAGACAAACCATCTTTCAAATTCGTCTAAGTCTGTTTTGACTTAAAAAAGTATGGTAGCTTTAAACTTTCACTTTTTGTAAGATTCATTTAAAAAGTATGTGTATCCAGATGATTTTATTAGTTATTCAGTATTAATGATATGTATAAATATTGATCCAGATTATCAATACTGGAAATTATGAATATTTCTCTGCCCTATCACCTGTCTATAGATATACTTGTACGTACAATCCCGGATCATAACGACAGAACTTATTATAGTTTGTTGTGCAAAATATATAACAGGCTAAGGGAAACAAACCTAAACCCATACCAAATCCCATAAAATAGGATATTTTAAACCATGACGACACAAATCTAGACTTAGACGGTTGTGGTAACGCGAATTTATTTTATTTTCGCATATTTCTCCATTTTCCCCTGCTAGAAACTTACTTTCTTAATTCTTTCATTTAGCAAATCAATTTTACACCAGAACTTCGCCTACGAACTGTAACTTTCGACTCATGCTGGACTGTTGCGGTCTCTCCTTTTTCGGGGTGGGCATGATTACAAGCAAATATTAAAGTGTTTTAAAAAGTTTAAAATGGGTAAATCTAGTTATAAACATTCACCTCGTCCTGCTGGTCATTCTTATTAATACACCCTGGAACCCTTCTGGAACAGGGAATAAAAAAAAAAACAGTAATTTATTTTGTTCAAAGTTTGGGGAGCTACTCTCGTACCGCACTCGAGAAACCTTTCCTTATCACTCACAATCAGACAAATCGTATTCGTGTACTTGTCCAAGTTCTTTATGAACTTTGACCGTTTGAACAAATGGACTGCACAAAATAAAAATATCAATAATACAAGGCAGAGGTGGGGAGCTAACAACAAATGGTCCAGCAAATGACATATCGCACATAGTTTCTAAGAAAAGTTTTCCAAATTAATCTCGCAACAAAAAAGAAAGTAGAGTCCAAAAAGCCAAGACAAAGACTGAAGCATCAGTAACAACAACAAACAGAAGCGAAACCAAAGCAACAGCAACGCCATAAAATTTGACAAAATGATGTCGACATCGACGACATGGGACGTGGGACGATTCGAGCAGACAGAGACGCAGGGCAGACGCGCGCACGCATAAAGGTCACAGTAACGTCTGAGGGTCAAAGTTCAGAGACGCGTAAATTTGCCGTTACGTGCGTTTTCGCTCGCGAGCGATAACGGAGAAAAAGGGGCGGTACGGCATGAGAGCGACAACGCCTATGGGGGTTGAGCTGGGTTTGCCGCAGTATCCCGCAAAGGCAATCATTCAAGGGTCGCAGCCGCCGTCTGTGAATCTTTTTGGGGTCGCTCCAGCTCCCACGTTGCGGCACATTGGCGCGACAGCCTTCAACGAACCATCTTCTCGTACATATCTGGCGGTGCGCACTTTTACAAAACAAATCACTTGGAGTAGAAATGTCGTCTGCGACGTTAACGCTTAGCTCTACGCACAATTGGTAATCACGGGCCGACCGAGGCAGGCGCAACAACAACTACTACTATGCATACAACAATAAAGTCAACATCCTTCCCAGCCTGTTGCCTTTCCTCCTTTCGGTGTATTGGGCTTAGCGAGCTGTGGCCACTGTTGCTCCACCTTTGGGTTCAGTATCTCAGTTCCCTCGAACAGCCCAAGGGTGTACCTAGACTTGCTCGATAAAGCTGCCCTGCCCAAAACTTTTTGCGCAGTGTCTACCCTCTCCGCACCCCGCACCTTCACCCATCACAACTGCTGCGTAAACTTTTTCTTTCGCTCAAATATTCTTTGAACATTTCGGTTTGTCTGCGTTTGCGTCTGCGTCTCCGTCTGCATCTGTCGCCTCGTCTCTGCCGTCTTTGTTTGTTTTGTCTGCTCCTGATTTGGCGCGCATATGTTGTCTCAACCCGACTCGATTCAACTCGAGTCGACTCGACTCGACGCAACTCAACTCAACTCAACTCAACTCGCCTGATGCCTTGTGTCTGGTACCCGGTGA